CCTCCCATTCCTCAGACGACATGTCCATCCTGGGCCTCCTGCAGTGCTGCAACGATGCCACCCGAAGGTTGCAGGAACAGCACCTCGTATTCCGCTTGGGAACCCTGCAGCCCAATGGTATCAATGTGGATTTCACAAGCTTCAAAATCTCCCCTCCCCCTACCGCATCCCAAAACCAGTCCAGCTCGTCCCCGCCTCCCTAACCTGTTCTTCCTCCCACCTCAAGCCGCACCCCCATCTCCTACCGACTAACCTCATCCCGCCCCCTTGACCTGTCCGTCCTCCCTGGACTGACCTATCCCCTCCCTAACTCCCCACCTACACTCACCTTTTCTGGCTCCATCCCCGCCTCTTCGACCTGTTTGTTTCCTCTCCACCTATCCTCTCCTCTATCCATCTTCTATCCGCCTCCCACTCTCTCCCTATTCATTTCAGAACCCCCTTCCCCTCCCCCATTTCTGAAGAAGGGTCTAGGCCCGAAACGTCAGCCTTTCTGCTCCTCTGATGCTGCTTGGCCTGCTGTGTTCATCCAGCCCTGCAACTTGTTGTCTTGCTACTTGAGTTGTCTGTTTGTACTTATTAACATAGCTGTACATCTAAATGAAGAGCAGTTGACATAACACTCTCTCCTAACAACAACCAATGATTTAAGACTGAACAGGTCATTGCAGGGATTGACAGCTACTTTGTCTATTTTCCCTGTGTACTTGTTGCTGCAGGTTTGAATCAGTCTTTTGAAACATACGAGGAGACTTGTTGGGTCATGATGTCAAGAGTTCACAAGCACTGTCCATTGTTATCCTAGAAATCTTCCACAAGGATTAACAAGTATGCTATTCGCTGGGAACCTTTCTAGATTCACCAGGAACAATGAAGCACTTGGTCAGTGGCATCTTTGTTAGACCTTTGGCCTGCAAGAGGATTAGGAAGGCAGGAGAAATGGCAAAGCAGTACCAGCTGCATCAAGACATGGGGACTCGACAAGGAGTTAGACATTTACTACTAAGGGTACAGGATATATAAAGACAAAATACTGCAGATGCTGGAGATTTGGAAGTAAACAATAGAGTTTGAGAAACTCAGCAAGTCTGACAGCAGCTGGAAAGAGTTAAAGTTTCAACTCCAATGACTCTTCTTCATAACACCACCAATTACTCCTCTTGGAAGTCCTCTACCAGGACTTTCAGGGCCACTGTGTTGTCTCTTGGTTCCCAAACTATCCTGGTTGAATTGGATGAATGGAACCTACCTGCACTCAGGAAACTTTTATCTGAACAGCACAAGTACTAAGCCTGCGAGTGCACGTTTAGCTCTGCAGGCTATTTCAGGCTATATTTACCAATTAAGACCAGAATTTGGGCCTCTTGTGGTGTATTGGCAGTATCCCCATCTCTGAGCCAGGAGATCTGGGCTCAAGATCCACCTGCTCCAGAGGGGTCATAACATTTCCGATTAGAAAATAATACCAGGTTGATTGGAAAAATATGTATTAAGACCAAAATTGCGAAAGCTACAGTTTTGAACAGGCATGTCGTACTTGGATTGCAGCCATCAAACACCTCTTCATCAAAATCAAGCATGGCTTTTGTAAGCACATAGAGGCATAAGAAAACACACTGATATTTGTTCTATAAAAACCAAAAGAACTGCAGATACTGTAGACAAAAATAGAAATTGCTGGAAAAGCTTGGCAGGTTTGGCAGCATTTGTGAAGAGAAATCAAAGTTAATATTTTGGGTCAATGACCCTTCCTCAGAACTGGTAATTGTTCAACTGTAATTCATATTATGTTTGAACCAAAACTGTACGTTTTACTGCCTAAACACAACATACAAAGACAGTTCTAACATTCACAAAACTAACACAAATCATTTCAGAAAAAGAGCACTGTTCCATGACAGTGCAAAGCAAGTAGGAAAAAACAGAATCAGGATTTTGATCTCTACCACCTCAAATCAATTGTTTATAGTTGAGCATGATACTACTGAATTTTTTTCATTTGTATTATGGCAGTAGCTATTTATAATTCTTTCAAAGTCAGTTTTACAATTCAATGAAGTTTTGACAACAAATAAAACTTTTAACAAGGAAATTTTTTTTTAAAAACGAAGCATGATGGATAATTACTAGAATACTCTCCACATATTTAAACTGAACAAAGCATTTGCAGTTAAGCACTTGCCAACATAGCTTTCTTTTCTGTATTCTCTAATAAGTGTACCAGATATTTTACACAAAAATTTAATGAACCATAAGAAAAATTCTCCCCCGAGTCACACCTACGTACCACTACTGTAGTTTTGTAATCTTTTCTAGCCAGCTCTTTCATTGCAATTTCTTCAGAGACTGGACCAAATGTAAAATAATTGGGGTAAAAAGCTCCAGCCAAAACAACCTGTGGAAAAATTACATTGCAATATAAACACAGCACAACTTAGAGCAGCCCAATCTAATTTTTAAAAAAAATTAGAAGTCTATTCACTCCAGCAACTAGAAACCTAAAGTTTGAGTCTTCAAAAAACAGTTACTCAAAATGCATCAATGCATTAAAGTGGGTTTGAAGAGGAATTGTGTTAGTGGTTCAGAGAACGTTCAATGTAGAACAGTACAGAACAGTACAGAACAGTACAGGCCCTTCAGCCCACGATGTTGTGCCGACCTATTATCCTACTTGAAGATTAAACTACCCTGCATACATTTTACTATCATCCATATGCCTATCCACAAGTTGCTTAAATGTCCCAGATGTATCTGACTCCACTACTACCGGCAGCAGCACATTCCACGCACCCACCACTCTGTGTAAAGAACCTACCTCTGACATCTCCCCGATACCTTCCTCCAATCACCTTAAAATTATGTCCCCTCCTAACAGTCATTTCCACCCTGGGAAAAAATCTGTGGCTATCCACTCTGTCTATGCATCTCATCATCTTGTCCACCTCTATCAAGTTACCTCTCATCCTTCTTCGCTCCAAAGAGGAAAGCCCTAGCTCCCGCGACCTTTCCTCATAAGGCCTGCCCTCCAGTCCAGGAGCATCCTGGTAATTCTTCTCTGCACCCTCTCTAAAGCTTCCACATCCTTTCTATAATGAGGCGACCAGAACTGAACACAATATTCCAAATGTGGTCTAACCAGGGTATTATAGAGCTGCAGCTTAGCCTCGCGGCTCTTAAAATCAATTCCCCTGCCAATGAAAGCCTACACACCATACACCTTCTTTACAACCCTATCAACGTGGGTAACAACTTTGAGGGATCTATGGACATGGACCCCGAGATCCCTCTGTTCCTCCACACTGCCAAGAATCCTGCCATTAACCCTATATTCTGCATTCAAATTCGACCTTCCCAAATTAATCACTTCACACTTTTCCAGGTTGAATTTCATCTGCCACTTCTTTGCCCAGCTCTGCATCCTGTCAATGTCCCGTTGCAACCTACAACAGCCCTCCATGCTGTCCACAACTCCACCAACCTTCGTGTCATTGGCAAACTTACTAACCCACCCTTCCACTTCCTCATCCAAGTCATTTATAAAGATCACAAGGAACAGAGGTCTCAGAACAGATCCCTACGGAACACCACTGGTCACCGAGCTCCAGGCTGAATACTTTCCATCTACTACCATCCTCTGTCTTCTATTGGCCAGCCAATTCTGTATCCAGACAGCCAAATTTCCCTGGATCCCATGCCTCCTTACTTTCTCAATGAGCCTACCATGGGGAACCTTATGCCTTGCTAAAATCCATATACACCACATCCACTGCTCGACCTTCTTCAATGTGTTTTGTCACATACTCAAAGAATTCAATAAGGCTTGTGAGGCATGACCTGCCCCACACAAAGCCATGCTGACTATTTCTAATCAAACTGTGCTTTTCCAAATAATCATAAATACTATCTCTCAGAATCCTCTCCAATAATTTGCCCACCACAGAAGTAAGACTGACTGGTCTGTAATTCTCAGGATTGTCCCTACTCCCTTTCTTGAACAAGGGAATAACATTTGCCACCCTCCAATCATCTAGTACTACTCCACTGGACAGTGAGGACGCAAATATCATCACAAAAGGCGCAGCAATCTCTTTCCTTGCTGCCCGTAATAAACCTTGGGTATATCCCATCTGGCCCAGGGACTTATCTATCCTCATGTTTTTCAAAATTTTTATCACATCCTCCTTCCTAACCTCAACCTGTTCAAGCATGGCAACTTGTTTCACTCTGTCCTCACAAACATCAAGGTCCCTCTGACTACTGAAGCAAAGTATTCATTAAGGACCTCCTCTACCTCCTCTGACTCCACATACAAGTTCCCTCCACTATCCCTGATCGGCCCTACCCTCAATCTGGCCATCCGCTTGTTCCTCACGTAAGTATAGGACGCCTTGGGGTTTTCCTTAATCCTACTCACCAAGGCTTTTTCATATCCCCTTCTAGCTTTCCTAAGTCCATTCTCCAGTTCCTCTAGAGCCCTGTCTGATCCTTGCTTCCTCAACCTTAAGTAAGCTTCCTTCTTCCTCTTGACTAAATGTTCCACATGTCATGTCATCCAAGGTTCCTTCACCTTACCATCCCTCCCTTGCCTCAGTGGGGCAAACCTATCCAGTACTCATAGCAAGTGCTCCCTAAACACCCTCCGCATTTCTGTTGTGCATTTTCCTGAGAATATCTGTTCCCAATTTATGCTCCACAGTTTTTTCCTAATAGCATTGTAATCCCCCCTGCCCCAATTAAATACTTTTCCGTACCATTTGCTCCTACCCCTCTCCATGACTATAGTAAAGGTTAGGGAGTTGTGATCACTATCACCGAAATGCTTTTCCACTGAGAGATCTGACATCTGACCTGGTTCGTTGCCAAGCACTAAATCCAATATGGCCTCCCCTCTAGTCAGCCTATCTACATATGGAGTCATAAATTCTTCTTGGACACACCTGACAAAATCTGCTCCATCCAAACTATTTGCACTTTGGAGGTTCCAGTCGATATTAGGGAAGTTGAAGTCACCCCATGACAACAACCCTATTACTTCTGCATCTTTCCAAAATCTGCCTCCCAATCTATTCCTCAGTGTCTCTGTTGCTATTGGGGGGTTCTCGCAAAACTCCCAATAAAGTGACTGCTCCTTTCCTGTTTCTGACTTCCAACCATACTGACTCAGTAGATAAACCCTCCTCGACGACCTCTCTTTCTGCAGCTGTGATACCATCCCTGATTAGCAATGCCCACTCCCCCACCTCTTTTACCTCCCTCCCTATTTCTTTAGAAACATTTAAACCCTGGAACATCTAACAACCATTCCTGCCCCTGTGTTATCCAAGTCTCCGTAATGGCTACAACATCATAGCTCCAAATACTGATCCATGCTCTAAGTACGTCACCCTTATTCCTGATACTTATTGCGTTAAAATAGACAAACTTCAACCCGTTGCACTGACTGCAACTTTGCCCTATTAACTGTCTAGCCTTTCTCACAGACTCTCTGCATACTGTATCTGCCTGTACACCAGCTACCCCATCCATAGCTCCGGTTCCCACCTCTGTGCCAAACTAGTTTAAACCCTCCTGAAGAGCTCTAGCAAACCTCCCACCCAAGATATTGGTTCCCCTCCAGTTCAGGTGCAACCTGTCCTTCATGTACAGGTCTCACCTTCCCCAGAAGGTATCCCAATGATCCACATATCTGAAGCCCTCCCTCCTACACCAGCTCTGTAGCCACATGTTCAGCTGCACTCGCTGTCTATTCCTAGCCTCACCAGCCCGTGGCACCAGTAGTAATCCTGAGATTATTACTCTGCTCATCCTGCCTTTTTGCTTCCAACCTAACACCCTGCATTCACTTTTCAGGTCCTCGTCCCTTTTCCTAGCTATGTCATTGGTACTGATGTATACCACGACTTCTGGCTGCTCACCCTCACCTTAAGAATCCTGTAGACTTGATCCAAGAATCCCCGAATGTGGCACCCGGGAGGGGTTCACTTGATTCTTTCATAGGAAGAAAGGTTTAAGTTATGCAGAAAGGTTTAATAGGTTGGCCCTTTACCCTTTGGAGTTTAGAATAATGACAGGTAATGTTATTAAAACATACAAGGTCTTGAGGGGACTTGACAGGGTAATTGCCAAGAGGATGCTTGTCCTTGTAGGAGAGACGAGAACTAAGAGCTCTCGTTTTTAAGATGAAGATTAAGACCATAAGACATAGGAGCAGAAATTAGGCCATTTAGCCCATTGAGTCTGTTCAGCTATTCAATCATGGCTGATAAGATTCTCAAAATTATTCCCCACTTTCTCCCCATAACCTTTGATCCCCTTGACAATCAAGAACCTATCTATCCCTGTCTTAAATAAACTAAGGGATTTTTTTAAACTCTTGGATGGTCATTAATTTGTGGAATGCCCTTCCTCAGAAAATATTCAGGACTAAGTCAGTGATTGTTTACCAAGGTTGAGTTGGATAGATTTTTGATAGTGAAGGGAACCAAGGATTATAGGGGTGTAAGGGGACAAGGGTGGACAAAACAAAAAAAAGTGACTCGAAGACCACAACCAGATCAGCCAAGATCTCAACTAAGGCATAGCAAAATCTTGGTCCACATAGGACTTGGAAGCAGGAATAGACTATGTTCCTAAACAGACCCTTCTTTACGGAGGTTGTAGACATGCTTTCCGAGCTGGTTGGTTTGTTGGGGTGAATGGTATTCCTTCTGGTTTTGTTTCTCAGTGGTTTGTACACAGGATCCAATTCAATGCGTTTGAGGATGGAGTTTTGGTTACCTAGAGGTCTATGTAGTCTTGATGTCATCTCTGAAATGTCCTTGATGTAGCCCACAAACCAACAGCCACCCTACGACAGCTATTGACGAACATAAAGGATCCCATACCCGTAGCCAGCAAAACTGGGGTAATATACAAAAACCATGCAAGGATTGTGAGAAACACTATGTAGGCCAAACCGGAAGAAAATTGACTATACAGATACGTGAACAGCAACTAGCCACCAAGAGACACGACCAATTCTCACTTGTCTCACTGCACACGGACAACGAGGAGCACGAATTCAACTGTGACAACACATCGATAATTGCACAAGCCAAACAGAGACACGTCAAGAAATTCCTAGAGGCCTGGTATTCCAACCAGAACTCCATCAACAAACACATTGAACTGGACCCAGTGTACAAACCACTGAGAAACAAAACCAGAAGTAATACTAATCACCCCAGCAAACCGAGGCACGTAAAGTACAAGCGGGACAGAACACCAACGCTTCACCGGAGGTGCACTGACAATGTTACCTAGCAGGGTGACAAAACGTTTGCAACCAAACCCACCAGCTCGGCAAGCATGTCTACAACCTCATCCACAACCCGAGGTACAAATCATCTTGAAAACTTTAAACCCTTCTTCACTGTCAATGTGCAAGAACCTGGCCTCTGCAGGAACTTCATGGTGTGTCTGTAAGGAGCAGAGTCTCTTTCTGTTCTTTACCAGACCAGTAGTGCAGGGAAGGAGCCAGGTTACCTCTGTTGGATAATAGGTGCATGCATCACATCAGGCTGTTGTAAACTATGATCAATATTTAGGTAAGATATGAAACTTGAAAAATGTTGTATGTAAAAACACAAGAAACAAAACAGCACCTGCAGAATGAATCTTTGTTTATGCACATACTCTTCATTTGTACACCCATTGGTGTGATCAGTACACATATTAAAACATTGGACACGTTCTTTCAACTCCTCATGCAACTGTGCCACCTAGGAGGAACCAGTCAAAAACAGATGATTGGAATTCATGTTCCAAAGACATGATAGGTTTTCATTTAGCCATATAGTTAATTTCTTCAACAAAAACAGAAATTTTCAGCAGGTCTGGCAGCATCTATGGAGAGAAATCAGAGTTAATGTTTCAGGTCCAGTGATCCATTTTCAGCATTTAGCTAATTTCTCCCTTTGAAATCCTGTGCTACAGACCCCATCCAGTTCTTAAACTATGTACTTACTGCAAGTCTCCACTATTTTATCTGGAAGTAAGAATAACTAGTCAGGTAAAGGACAAGATCAATAGGATGAGAGCCTATCTAACCTACATAAATTGAAAACAAAAATTGACAGATAAAATAATAAGACTAATGAGCTGTCCTTTCAGGATAAATTTAGCCAGAACTCCCTTAATAATGAAACAGTGAAAGAAAACAGACAAGACAGATGTTAGGTTATAGAATAATTCAGAATCAGGCTGAACATAAGAGGGGCATGAAAAACAATAATGAGTAGAAATAGAGAAAGTACAAAAAGAGATTGAAACTATTGTGAAAGAGAATCTGAAAATTTCTTTCAGTATATAAATCATACACAGGTGGTAAACAGGAGAGGTCCAAATGTCCTAAAGGAGGATTTAAACAGAGAGACTGAACATGAGCCTAATGTGAGTACAAAATGAGTACTTTGCTTCTGTTCTTACCAAGGAAATGCTGCCAAGGGTCAATGCAAAAGAGGAGGTAGCTGAGATGATAGCTGGGCTAAAACTTGAGGAAGAGGAAGTCTTTGACAGGCTGGTTAAACTTTAAGCTGATAAGGTGACCAGTTCCATGTCACATGCATCTGAGAATACTAAGAGAAGTAAGGTTGCGGTTTACAGACACTGACCATAATTTTCTGATGCTCCTTGGATAAAGGGATGGTACCAAAGGTCTGGAAACTACAAATGTTACCAAGCTTGTTCAGAAAAGAACGAAACAATATGCTCAGCAACTATAGCCATGTGAGTTTAATCTTGTTGATGAAAAAGCTTTTGGAAACAATCACTATAGGGCAAAATTAACAATAATTTCGACAAATGTAGATTAATCAAGAAAAGCCTGCTTAATAACTGCTAAAGACAAGCTTTTGAGAGTTGGATGAGTTATCACAGAGGGCAGAAAAGATAATTGGATTTCCAAAAAGCATTTGTAAAGTGTCTCATAATTTGTATATCTGTAACATTAGAGCTGATATAATAACGACAACTATACCAGCATGGAAACAAACATGACTCAGTGACAGAAAACAGCGCAGTGGTAGATAGCTGCACTTCCAGCTGGAGAAAGTTATGAAATGGGGTGCCTGAATCACAAACTGCACAATAGCAAACTGCGCAGATGACACAAAACGTGCAAGTGTTGTGAACTAAGAAGAATATAACGATAAAACTCAGGTTGACATTGAAAAAGCTGGTGGAATGGGCAGCCATATGACAGATGCCAGCCTCAGGCCAATTTGATTCATTACTCATGACATCAAGAAACAGCTTTGGAGTAATGTGAAGACATTTGAGACAACACAGAAAAGAATCATGATTATAGCTCCAGGTAGCCTGTAATTCAACTTCATGGGCAGATGTCAGAAGTTGTGGTTGTCCTCCTTGAAGGAGAAGATTTAAAGGAGTGGAATCAAAATGTTCAAATAATGACAAATCTGGCAAAGAAGATAGGAGAAATTGGTTTTAATGGTGGGTTGAGACAAAGGGACACAGATTTCAATGTAAATGGCAAAAGTAGCAAAGGAAAAAGGGGAGAAGCTTTTTTTTAATGCATCAAGTGGTTAGGAACTTGAGTACACTGCCCGAGAGTATGGCGAAGGCAGAATTAAGGCTTCTCAAAAATAATTTATTAATATCCGAAGGGCAAACTTTGCTTGGTTACTGGGAAAGGAAGGAGAGAAGGTCCGGAGAAACTGCTCTTGCTGACAGATGGCACATTCACGATAGAATCAATGGTCCCCTCTTCTATAACTAAATTGTATAATCTTAAGAGCTTCAAAAGGTTACAGCAATTATGCTACCCATGTCCCTTCTTCATCTGGACAATGGTAATTAACCACGTCTGTGAGTTACACCATTTCCAATCTTGTTATAATAGCCCTTCTGAACCTTACTTCAGGCAAATACACAAGAGATAAATCCCTTTTTTATAAAAAAAAAAAATCCTATAAGCGGATCCCCACTTCTTCAGTTCATTACTCCAGTGTCAGACTTACAGAAAGAAACAGCTCACAGGCAAAGTGACAGTAAATTCACTTCACTATTAGTTCCACTAATTCATTGTCCCTGTGGAAATGCATACTGGTAAAGAAGAATATTGCAATTGTAAAGTATTTGAATAACTTTTTAGTGATTTCAGGAAACTTGCAATTGAAGTAAACAGATGTGTGAACAACTCCTTGAAATTATGAAGAGAAGTTCGGCGACTGGGTAGTTAGTAAATCATCACATATTAACAGTCTTTGTTGCAATGTAATAGTCCTTGACAATAAACTCACCTCTTTTATTCTTTTTATCTGGATGTAATTTGATTTTCCCCATTCTAACTCAGCCTGTGTCATATAACAATCATTAGAAAAGATGCACAATACATCAATTTATAAGGACAAAACTTAGTATTGAGATACAGGAAATCAAACAGTGAAATATGCACAAGAGTCAATAACGGCAAGAGTTAAAATCAGGTAAACAGGGCTATACATTTTTATGAATTATCTTATGAAGCCTCCATTTCAGAATGATCTAATAAAACTCATGAACTTTTATCGTGTTCCACAGTTATTTCAAGAGTGCTGCTTTTTACGGATTTTATTCAATTTTAACAACTACCCATAAAAAATGCAGCCTAAGAAAATCGTACATCTACACAATTATCAACTTGTAAGGAAACTTTTTTTAAAAAATTCACCTGAAGCCAAACTAAGTTTGAAGAAAACAACTGATCAAATGACAGTAGCCTATGACTGCAAAACTCTGAAGAAGTGCACGATGAAGAAGTGAAAACAAGTATGAACTGGTTTACCTTTAAAATTTTCATAAGACAAAACAGATTGGATATCACAACAAATGAACTGTAGTGTCAAGATCAAAGAAAAATGTACATTTTGAATAGTACCTGTGCTTCAATTTCATTAAAAATATACCAGAAACTAAGCAACTGCCATTAATGTATATTACAAGAGAGAACCATTGGTGATAAAGCTCATGCAGTTTTGAGGTATTGCTTACATATCTTCAGTGTGTCTTCAAATACAAAAATTGTATTAACAATCCTATGATCACTCCAATTTCCACTGATTTTCCAACAATCCCTTCATAAACCTTACATATTCAACTTCTAGTTGAATGGAACAAATGGTCTGATAAGACATATTCTTTGATTGGATTGCCTGAAGCCTTGAAAATCCTTGTTTTAGACTCTCTTCACTGCAGCAACTCATGTGCTGGTGGTGCTCTCATGGTATTGGCAGACAAAAGATTATGGAACTGTGATCAAGTAAAGATAAAGGATGTTCAAATCAGGATGTATTGTGATTCAGACGACTTGGAGGTGACTACGCTCCCTTAATCCTCCTGCTCTTCTCAATGGTCGAAATTGCAAGACAGAGTAGACAGTTAATACAGTTTGGCATATTCCTGCAGTGCATGCTGTAGATGGTACAAACTTCAAACTAGGTATTCTTGTAGCAAAGGAATGGACATTTGTCCCCTCACAAACGTATCAAAGATGATGGCCTTGAAACTATTGAGCTTCTTACATTTTAAAGCTGGTGCAACTATCCAGGCTAATGGCAAATATTCCATTATATTTTTGACTTCAGCTTTGGTGAGAAAGGTATCAGCTTTCAGAAGCAAGTCCTTAATTCAATTATCCACTTTTATTATGATTGGTCAAAAGATTGATGGTGGGATACTTTACATAATAGTACCACTGAAGATGAAGGGGAGGTCACAGATACTATATTTGATGGACAGGATGTGGAGGTGCTGGAGTTGGACATGGGTGGACAAGGTCAAAAATCACACGACACCAGGTTATAGTCCAACAGGTTTATTTGAAAACACAAAGCTTTCAGAGTCTCGTTCTTTCTTCAGTTGTCAGTGAGAGAGGTGTCATCAGTCACAGAATTTATCAGCAAAAGATCAAAGGGTCATAGGACTGATGCAAATATTTTGAACATTCCTAAGATGGCTGTTAAAACATGAATCAGTTAGAAAGGATTTATATGCAAATCCCAGAATTTCTTTCAAGTCAGTGCCCCGAGATAACTCAAGATTTTATCAGGATACCAGAGGCGACATCTCGGGTCAGACAATGCATTTTAGGCGTGAGGCCTTGTCTAGAATCTGGCTGTGTACTAACTTGGAGTCAGACTGGTTTAATTTCCAACTTATAAAATGCCACATTGACTATCCACAAATTGTGTGCTTTTTGAACAAAATAGAACGCATCTGCAATCACAAATCTGCAAATGCAAATTCACACCGTAGATGTCTGAGAGTGTGAGATAGTCAGAGTGAGTGAGAGGGCGCGTGACAGCACGCAAGAGAGCATGCGAGAGTTTGTGTGCATGTGTGGGACTGTGTGATTGAGATGGTCTATGTGTGTGTGTGTGCGCGTGTGAGAGAGAGTCTATGTGAGACAGTGTGTGCGTAGATGTACGTGTGCATGTGCATGCATGCGCGTGTGCACACGTATGTGTGTGTGTGTAAGACAGTGTATAGTATGGTGGGGTCACCTGTAGTGCAACATGAACCCAAGATCCTAGTTGAGGCTGTCCTCATGGGTACCAAACTTGGCTATCAGCTTCTGCTCAACGACTCTGCGTTGTTGTGTATCCTGAAGTCTGCCTTGTAGGATGTTTACCCGAAGATCCGAGGCTGAACGTCCTTGGCTGCTTAAGTATTCCCCCACTGATGACTGTTAGGCAGTGTCCATTCATCCGGAGTCGTTGTAGCATCTGCATGGTCTCGTCAATATACCATGCCTTGGGGCGTCCTTCCCCGCAGCGTACAAGATAGACAACATTGGCCATGTCACGCAAGTATCTGCCATGTGCGTGGTGGGTGATGTTCCCACATGAGATGGCAGTATCCATGTCAATGATCTGATATATCTTACAGAGGTTGCCATGACAGGGTTGTATAGTGTTGTGGTCAATGTTGTCCTGAAGGCTGGGTAGTTTGCTACGAACAATGGTCTGTTTAAAGTTCGGGAGTTGTTTGAAGGGGAGAAGTGAAGGCGTAGGGAAGAACTCGGCGAGGTGCTCATCATCAGTGATGACATGTTGAAAGCTACAAAGAACACAGCATAGTTTCTCCGCTATGAGGAAGTACTGGCCGACAAAGGGTACCCTTGTAGGTCGTATCCTGTGTCGGTCATTAAGGATTTTCACTGTGGCTCGTCGGAACTGACAATCGATGAGTTGAGCGTCGTATCCCGTTCTTGAGGGCGTCCTTCAACACCTTCAGGTGTCAGTCGTGTTCCTCCTCATCCAAACAGATCCTGTGTATGTATAGGGCTTGTCCGTAGGGTGTGGCTGTTTTAATATGTTTACCGTGGATGGTCGAGAAGTGCAGCATCATGAGGTTATCTGTAGGCTTGCAGCAGAGTGAGGTATTGAAGTGTCCATCCTTGAAGTAGATGTGAGTGTCCAAGAACGTGACTGATTCTAAAGTGTAGAATCTGATGGTGGGATGAAACTTGTTAATATCACTATGCAGTAGTTTCAATGATTCCTCGTCATGAGTCCAAAGGAAGAAAATGTCGCAAATGTATCTGACGTATAGCATTGGTCAGAGGTCCGATGCAGCAAAGAAGTCTTGTTCGAACTTGTGCATAAAATGTTTGCATATTGGGGTGCAAATCCGGTTCCCATGGCTGTTCTGTGTGTCTGGATGAAGACTTCATGTGTCGAAGGTGAACACGCTATGGTCAAGGATGAATCGAATGAGTTGTAGGATGGCGTCTGGAAATTGGCAGTTGTTGGTATTGTGCAATGAGGCTGTTGCAGCAATGCCAGCATTGTCCATTGTGACCGGTCCATGGGTGCTGAGTTTCTGCAAGAAATCTGTTGTGTCACAACAGAAGCTGGAGGTTCCCTGAACAATGGGTTTCAAAATGCCCTCGACATTTCCAGGCAGGTTCTCACACAGGGTCCCACTGCCTGATACGAAGGAACGTCCAGGTGAGTTGGCTTTGTGTATCTTTGGAAGGCAAGAGAAATCCCCTACATGAGAAGTACACGGGATGAGAGTGCGTAGGCTATGCTGAAGGACTGGATCAAAAGTCTTGATCAGTCTGTCACATTCACAGGTGTGCTCATTGGTCGGATTAGCAGGTAGTTGTCTGTAGTGTTCCTGGTTGTTCAGTTGTCTGTATATCTCCTTGCAGTGGTCCATTCTATTCGACATGACGATGGTTCCTCCTTTGTCTGTTGGTTTGATGACAATGTTGTGATTGGTCTTGAGATCATAGATGACGTGGGAGCGAGAGAGAGAGAGAAAGAAAGAAAATGCACGCGCGGGAGTGTGAGAGCGCGGGGGTGCGCAACAGCGGGTACGTGAGAGAGGGTGAGTGTGAGAGAGAGGGGGAGAGAGAGAGAGCGAGAGAGAGAGAGGGAGACAGAAAGGGTGTGAGAGGGATAGAGAGAGAGGGGGAGGATGTGAGCAGGAGAGGGTGGGAGAGAGGGTGTGAGAGGGAGGGAGAGAGAGAGTGGGAGCGCACGTGTGCGAGTGCGAGTGCGAGTGCGAACGCGCGTGCGCGAATGGGAGCACGATTGGACATGTGGATGTGAGGATGGAGAGTGAGTGTGCGTGTGCGAGAGAGGGTGAGTGAGTGAGTGTGTGTGAGAGACAGAGACACACACTCTCTCTCACACACACACTCACTCTCTGACACCCCCACCCCACACACACACCCCCACAACGCACACACATACTCTCCCCCACGCAACATGCGTGCACACACACATACACACTTCCTCACCTAACATGCGTGCGCACACACACTCCCTCACCCAACATGCACGCACACACACTCCCTCATCCAACACACACACTCCCCGCAACGTGCGCGCGCAAATATACACACACACCCTCCCCCCCCCCTCCGCCCACACCCCCCCCCCCCCCCCCCCCCCCCCCCCCCCCACAATGCGCACACACACTTGCGCCCCCAACATGTACACACACACACACTTGCCCTCCCTGGTGCGCGCGCGTGCAGACACACAAACTCATTCTCCCCACCACCGCATGCGTGTGTAAATCTATGGGACAATGTGCATTTGCAGATTTGTAAAGGTAGATACATTCCATTTTGTTTAAAAAGCACAGAATTTGTAGACAATGTGGCATTTTATAAATTCCTACTTTGGAAATAAAACCAGTCTGATTCAAGTTAATACACAGCCAGATTCTAGACAAGGCCTCACACCTAAAATGTATTGTTTGATCCAAGATGTCACCTCTCAAATCCTGATAAAACCTTTAGTTGTCTCGAGGCACTGTCTTGAAAGAAATTCTGGGGTTTGCATATTAATCCTTTCTAACTGATTAAAGATTCAACAGGCATCTTACACTTGTTCCATACATTTGCATTAGTTTTACGACCCTTTCATTGTTTGCTTAAAATTTCTGTGTCTGATGCCACCTCCTTACCGACACCTGGGTTGGCATGGTGGCTCAGTGGTTAGCACCGTTGCCTCAGTGCCAGGGACCCTGGTTTGGTTCCGGCCTCGGGCGATTTTCCATGTGGAGTTTGCACACTCTTCCCGTACTGCATGGGTTTTCACTGAGTGCTCTGGCTTCCTCCCACAGTCCAAAGATGTGCAGGCTAAGTGGATTGGCCATGCTAAATCACCAGTAGCGTTTCAGGGATGTGTTGATTAGGTGGGTTACAGTGAAAAGGTAGGGGGATGTTCTAAGGGTCGGGGTGGACTTGTTGGGCTAAAGGGCTGTTTCCACATACTCGGGATTCTGTGAAGGAGTGAGACTCCAAAAGCTTGTGTCTTCAAATAAACCAGCTGAACTATAACTTGGTGTTGTGTAATTTTTGACCTTATATTTGATGGAGACAGTCAATTATTAGAATATGATATCACAGCAAGAAGATTCAAGTCCAGGAGCAGTGATGTCTTGCTTCAGTTGTACAGGGTCTAGGTGAAACCACACCTAACGTACTGTGTGTAGTTTTCGTCTCTTTTATCTGAGCAAGGATTTTCTTGCTATAGAGGGAGTGCAACAAAGGTTTACCAGACTAATTCCTGGGAATGGCAGGACTGATACATCGAGAGAGACTGGAGAGACTGGATTGATTAGGCCAATTTTCACTTAAGTTTAGAAGAATGAGGGGAGATATCGAAGAATTCTATAAAATTCTAACAGGATTAGACAGGGTAAACACAGAAAAGATGTTCCTGATGACCGGAAAGTTCTAGAACCTGGGGTCATAGTCTAAGCATAGGGACAGGCCATTTAGGACTGAAATGAGGAGAAATTTTTTTAGCCACAGGGTGGTGAGCCCATGGAATTCTTTGCCACTGAAGTCGAGGCAAAAACGCTGAATGTTTTCAAGAAGATATTATGACTTGGGGCTAAAGGGACAAATGGTAGATGGAGCAAGTGTAACACGGTACGGAATTGGATGATCAGCCATAATCATACTGAATAGTAGAGAATGCTCAATGGGCCAAATGGCAACATCTGCTCTTATTTTCTATGCTTATGTACACAATTAATAGGCATACAAGTTACCTGCAGCTTGTCACTTTATCTCAGATTGTATTGAATTAAAACCTGAATGAAATGAGCATGCATCACCTTAGCTTGAAAGCATTTCACTTTTTTTAAAAAAAGCATTTATCAATCATAATTTAAGTTTTGAAACACTCCATTTCATTATCAGTGAATAAACAAATAACTGTCAAACACTTGGATGCTAAATATTGTTAAAACAGTAAACATGCAATAACAAACCCTCGGAAATCTCAGTTGCCCTTGTTCTCTGCAAGAACGCCACGCCTGTGAGAAAAAAAATCACACAAAATGTTCATAAAACAATTGCCCCTTAGTCTTATGATGCTCAAAGCTGCAGAACACGCAAGATGGATTCAGAAAGAACGATAGGAATTGCTTTTTCTGCGATGAAGACCATAGGAGTAGAGAAGCCACGGGAGAATTGAAGCGCTGAATAGGCGGTTACTTAACCAATGTTTGAGAGAGCCTTGACGCTGAGCTAAATCAACCCTAAAAGGACAGGACCAATGGTCAAAGCCAACAGTATACTCACTTTTTGACTAATTATATGTACTGTCAATAGAACAACTGCACAGTAATCAGGAATGGGAACTCAAACCCACTTTTTCTCCCTATCTATGGGAGTGAAGTCCACTGTAATGTTCTCCTCACCCCAAAAATAAATTTCAACAGTTTGAACATGAGATTTCTTTTTGTACATATAATACAGATTCTGAGATATGGTAAAATCACCATAGTTCTACCAGACCACAAGACTGCTCCTTCATTAAGAATGGCAGAACAATGGTCTCCCGTCCCCCCACCTCAGTGGAACTGTCTGTTCTTCCAAGTCTGGCAATTAGACACATCATTGTTCTGCCATTCTCACATTCTGATCACTTAATCTGAACTATCAACATCTTTCCTTTACCAGCACTCTACATCCCACCCCAATCATAGCATTAATGCTATCCCTTCCAAACGTCTCTTCATCTCTGATGAAATGTCATCTAGACTTGAAACATTCAGAGACAGTAAGAACTGCCAATGCTGGAGTCAGAGATAACAGTGAGGAGCTGGAGGAGCATAGCAGGCCAGGCAGCATCAGAGGAACAGGAAAGTTGACGTTTCGCGTCAGGAGCCTGAAGAAGGGTCCCGAACCGAAATGTCAGCTTTCCTGCTCCTCTGATGCTGCCTAGACTTGAAACATTACTTGCTCACTCTCCATGGACACTGCCTGAACCCCTGAGATTTCAGCATTTGTTTTCAGTCCTTCATGGTCACCTCAGTTGGTACAGAAATTGATCCCATGCTGCTGGTGTTACTCTGCATCCAACCCAACCGAGCTAATTAAATTCTTAACTTTTCATTGTACACTTTTCTCAACTAATTTAGCTCTACTGTTACACTGAAGGGGACAATATGAAGTGCGAATCTTACGAGCTTAACTAATCTTTGAAAGTGTTAAACTGGTTGAGAATGATTACTAAATTACTGTAAAAAATCATTACTAACTGCTTTAATATGTTATCTGATTATACAATTCGTAATAAATTTGCAGACATATAAATTTTCCAAGTTTTTTTTTACCTTGAAAGCATTCACAAGTGCTATACAATCACTTAAAGTTCCATCTGAATACTCCATTTTACTCCTGCACATACAAAAATTATAATTTAAATATGAAAATCCAAGACATGCACACTACAAATTTACACATTAAAATTCTATCAGTTGTAATTTCTGAGGTTTGCATTTTTAGTGAAAATGTCTAAGTATCAGCTGTGCAACCTCGCCAGCATTGATTCACAATTCTCTCAAAATGCTTACTGAATTTTCCTTCCATTGACCAAAATGAAAAATACCTTGTGATCACAATGATGCAAACTGTGTAGTCAAATTGTGTAATTTAGTGATATTAAAATTTTACTAGAACAGCTCAAACCTGGTCTAAAACCTGGGCTTGAAATTAATTACTTTTCCCAAAACTGTGTCGCTGAGGAGAATATGGGTTGCTTCGACTGAACTTGTGCAGTGCACACAAGTTCCCAGAATCGAACAGCATCATCTAGCTAAAACAAAAGAAGTGATTGAGTTTTCTGATGAAGTAACAGTGCAAGTTAAGGGTAATGTAATTGACCAAAGCTCAATACATTGGGGTGATGGGTGAATTCGCTCCTGGAATCCCCAGTTCACCTGGGAAAATTCATTCACAATATCAACAAACCAGAGAGAATTCACCCCAGTAAATAAAATGGTAGAAAACAGTCAGGAGTTCCAATCGTAGGCTATTTGCATCTCATGTTTGCTGTCGATAAGGGCATGAATGTGAGACTGAGGGCATTGGGGCTGCTGAGAAGGCAAATGGTAAGGGAAAGGGGAGTTGGGGAGTGAGGAACCATAAAGATAGGAAGAATAGTTAAAAGATGTGGGGGGTGAGGCAGAGAGACAGAGAAACAGAGAGAGAGAGAGAAAAAGAGAAATAGAGATAGAGATCAAGAGACAGAAAGAGAGAGACAGAGAAAGAACAAGGTGCAAAATGAAGAGAGAGAGAGTGCACAAGAGATACAGAGGGTCTGCAAAGAGGGGAGGGAGACAGTATACAAAAAGTTAGTGAGACTGAAAACATAGCCCCTGAAAATTACAAAAGTATTCCTGCATCTGAAGAGGAGCCCTTGAAAAGAAAAATTTGATCTCTGCAATTTGTCATATATGCAAACTGAAAGCATCTTCTGAAGTCAGGAATAGGTTAGTCAGCAAAGTTAAAGCATTTGAATAAAATAAACATTGGTATTACAGTTAACAAGCTGATTGAGTGACAGTAAACAATAGCATGAATGGTTGTTTATTGAGAAAGGTGAGTAGTGAGGTTATTCACAAGTAGGAGCTACTACTTTATTTGATGTATATTGACCTAGATTGTGTGTGCTGGACACAATTTCAAAATTTGCTCATCATACATCAGAGTAGATTTTCATGAAGTCAAAGGGTGCCTGTGGAGTTGCAAAAACAGTGGCTGGGACCCGATTTTGAGATTCCCGGCCCCATTGCTGAGATTTCCAATTTTCGCCAGTGGCAGCTGCTGTACATCAGAAGCCTGCACCCTGAATTCCAGCTGCCTGGCTCTATATCGGGGATTTGGGGTATGGCCCGGTACTCCACAATTCACATGGAGTCAGGCTATGAAAGATTTGTGGTTCGCTATACCTCAGGTATTGTAAATCATTATCTGGATAAGGGAACCTTTCTTTCTTGGTTGTCAGCTATGCTGGCTGATCCAGTGATTATTATCTGTCCCTAGTTAACAGTGAGAAGGTGGTGGTGAGCTGCCTTCTTGAATTGCTGCAGTCCATGTGCTGTTGATTGAGTGTGATGTGATGGATGCGCTCAAAATCCTGGCAGGTTCAGAAAGAGCAGATAGGGAGAAATACTGGCCAGACAGTTCACCTGCTAAACTTCAAAACAGTGCCATGGAATTTTTCACATTCTCCTGCGCAAACCAGTTCAATAACTCACCTAAGAAATGGCATCTCTAGTATTAGTGTAGATCCTCAGTACTCTCATCTTCCATTGATTACTGCTTTCTCAGTTTTCATTTCGGAACACAAACTGTCTATTAATATTCATTACAAGCTTATCAACACCCCCAGCTACCTGGAGCATGTTTCTTCACAACATGGCTTCCCTAAGTACACTTTTCCATTCTCCCAGTTTCACTTCATTGCATTTGTTCCAATGCTGTTACCTTCAATGACAGTGTTTCAAATGTCTTCCATTTTCCTCAACTGAGGATTCCCACCTCAACTGTGACAGACAGGGCCGTCAACCAAGCAGCTCCATCCAACTGGATAATGTGGAGAAATGTTAGAGGTAGATGTGTAGTCAACCACGTCAAAGGCTGCAGTTAGGTCAAGAGAGATGAGGAGGAATAGTGTGCTACAATCACAGCCAAAAAGATGTCATTTGTGACTCTGATAAGAACTGTATCATTTGTGGCACAAACTGAACAAAAGGATTACAACATGAATGTCTGGACAAAATGGGCATGGGTTTCAAAGACAACAGCACAGTCAAGGACTTTGGAAAGAAAGGGAGGTTTCACATAACATAAGGCAGTAGTTTGCAAGGACACCATTTTGTTTAAGGAGAGGTCTGATGACAACAAATTTGACGGAGAGGGGTCATGGACTGAGGAAGAAAACCATTAACTCCCAAGCTATCATTGAAGTAAGGGGGCATTTGGTCAGCAATGTGGAGGGAAGAAGGTTGAAACAGGAGGGGGAGGTCTCATAGACAAGTGGAGTTTGGAGATGGTACTGGGGAAGACTGAAGAGAAAAAAATAGATGAGTGTTCTGCTTATGGCCAGTGGGGATTTCTTGGGAATTTCCCAAGGAAGAGGATCAGTGTATACAGTAACATTCTATTGGATTCATATCCTTTCCATCTGCTTTTCACCCTGCACCAACTAACAAAAAAAAACCTTACCGATATCCTTCAAGGTGCTGCTTGAAAGGCATTGCAAAAAAGTTCTTCAGCGAAAGAGCAGCAGCTAGAATGAAAATTGCAGTTTATTAGAATTGCTTCAGAAAGTTGGTCAAAATTTTGCTCACTGGAATTTTTAAAATATAAATTAATATTCTATATGTATATCTATATGCTTACCAATAATTAGGCATTCCTCTAAACAGCCAAACACATGTCCTATGACTATAAGTTTTCCTAGGTGGAGGTCTACAGGCAAATATGCCAATACTTTTCCTAAAAAAGTTAGATCTCCGTCATATGGGTTATCTACTCCTTTCATTTCAACAGAAAGTGCTCCCACCTTTATACAGGAAGAGAGAAAACTGCTGTTAGTGCCTTTTGCCACTTAAGGTAATATTTCAAGTATACATGATTGCTTAAGATTCATTACAAGAGGTCAGTTTTTAAACAATGACTTGCCTCTTTCAGTAATAGGACAGTGCGTTCAATGTCTTTCAAATTGGGTGGAGATAAAGCAGAAGCCAGCAATGCTCTTGGTTCTCCCATATCCAGTAATTTGACTTTCAGTACAGTGTTGCCTAATGGGCAGCGCTAAGAAATAAAAAAAACATTTTTTTCTTTAGCATATACCTTAAAACTTAAATCAAAAATCATCTAGCTTGCATACGTTTCTTTAGAGTTTACTAATAAACAATGCTAACAAGAAACATGAAAATGAAGCTTTTTACCTTGCCATCATCAAGGCTGAAGCACAAAAAAACCAACTTAAAAAGAAAGAAATAATTTATATAGTACGTTATCAATTGGTTAAAAAATTCTAGCTGCTGCTCTTTCGCTGAAGAACTTTTTTGCAATGCCTTTCAAGCAGCACCTTGAAGGATATCGGTAAGGTTTTTTTTTGTTAGTTGGTGCAGGGTGAAAAGCAGAGGGAAAGGATATGAATGGTGGGCATAGACATGCAGCCAGCTGATTACATGCAAACCAGGTGATATCATGGGATTGCAAAGATTGGCATCTCCACAACTGCTTCTTCAATGAAAAGGATTTAATGTGTGATCACACTGTACAAATCACAACTTCCTTTCTGAGTTTAGTTTCTTTCTTTAAAACCTGGTAGGTGCAAGAAAAGAAGCTTTCACCTCATTTTTGTGTTAAAAATTTACAGAACTGTACCTTTACATGTCTAATTTGTATTTAATGCATTTTATACAATACCTCGGTTAATGGAAATTTCAAATGAATTCTCCTAAAAAAAGTTATTAAATATTAATGCTAAATGCATCAACAGTTGACGAAACCAAGAGTGTTTAAATCAGTCTCATTTAAAGCGCAAACAGGTACGCAGGAATTTCTTTTTGGAAAAGAAGTTAATACCTGCATCTCTGGTACTGCATGATCAGGAATGCAATGTGTCCAGAAATCACGTGTTACCAACCGATAACAGTATCCTTTTGAAACACGACCAGCACGGCCTATTCAAGATGTGAATAAAATCTTGCTTTAAAAAATAATTTTAAAAAATTGTTTTACAAGATCTAACCACAGGTTTTAGCATTCAGATAACAGAATTTCATCCTGTAAACAGTCAAATTCCACGTTTACTATTTCTTTATTAAATTTATTGGTATTTCAGAGGTGTCAAAGGTCCCCTCTGCCTGACAATATCAAGGGATATTTTAAAGTTTCAAGAGAATTCTCAACATGTCCTAGCCAATAATAATTCCTCAAAATGAAAATATCATAAGCCTACCCAAATGTGTGACCTGTTTTAATGACACAAAAGTAGTTCACTACATACTGACATCCAAACCAGTTACATATGATGTCTATATCTAAACTATATCTACATGGCAAAGCACTTTGAATGGAATTCATTATGTTGTCTATTAACTCTAGAAATAAAGCAGTTACCAACAAATATATACATGTAGATAAACGAAGACTCCAAAACTGAAATTTGTGCATTTTTCTCCCCAAAACATTCAAAACATGCAACAAAAAATTCAAAGTGGACCGTTCTTTTCACCTTTCCTCTGATTACAGCTCATCTTTGAAGCCCAGCTCAAACGAAGGCTCTGGTAGTTTGTGTCTTCATCACAAACCAGATGACGAGTTAAACAGAAATCTATCACTAGTATTTTGAGAGAGAAAAACAATATGTTGGATCAAATCAGTAATTAGATTGCTGGACAAACATATGAACACAATAGCAGGAATAGGCCATATGCTTCATTATTCAATACAAATATGGCTGATCTTCAGTTTCAACACATTCTGCCTGTACCTATATCCCTTAATTCTGGGATAACAAAAATCTGTCTATCTCTGCCTTAAATATATTCAATGCTCTGGGTAGAAGATAAAAAAGATTCATAAATATTTACATGAACGTTTTTTTTACATTTCACCCAGAAAATGGGTAGCAGCTCATTAAAGTCAATTTTCCTGGTAGCTATCTGAAAGCTGGGTTGGCTGATGCTGGATGGAATATTCTAGAAGATTAGCCATTAATTTATTTGGGGATGCATATTGTTTAAGGTTCCCAGTGATTCACTCTTTGCTCCTTTTCATTTCAGAAGGCACCTTTATTTTTACATTTGAGTCAAACAAAACCTGGTGTCACATCCACAGCAGAGGGAGCTTCCCTGACACTGGGGTCATTGCACACAACAAGGATATGTCAAGCACTGTCATGAATACACTTAAATATAATTTGGTAAATTAACCTTTTGTAAGACATCCCATTTTGTTTCTACTCTTCCTGCCCTCAACACTTGAAAATGATTTCTCCTATTGGAATCCTGGCATGATGGGCACCTGGTGCTGTACAAGCTCAGTGGTTAGCACTGATGCCTCACAGAGCAAGGGACCTGTGTTCGATTCCACCCTCCGGCGACTGTCTGCGTGCAGTTTGAACATTCTCCCCGTGTCTGCGTGGGTTTCCTCCAGGTGCTCCGGTTTCCTCCCACAGTCCAAAGATGTGCAGGTTAGGTGCATTGGCCACGCTAAATTGCCCATAGTGTACAGGGATGTTTAGAGTCGGTGGGTTAGACATGGGAAATGCAAGGAAATGGGTCTGGGTGGGATGCTCTTCAGAGGGGCGGAGTGGACTTGTTGGGCCGAATGGCCTGTTTCCACACTGCACGGGTTGTATGATTCGGGTTGAAAAGACCAAATTGAAGAGAAATTAAAGCAAAGTTAGATTAACCTATCTTGTGCAAGAGGGTGGCCCTCTGGTAACATTCTCACCAAGAAGGACAGTTATAGGATTAGAAATTACCAGGGTAAGAAATAATAACTTCAGTAGAAAACCTTGAAGGAGTTAAAATTACTTTGGATGGCCTAATGTCTACCTCAGCATACTATAATAAATACTTGCCAAGTACACTTTTCAGGTTGTGCTAAAAATAAGATGATGGTCTTTCATTTGGTGGTTTAAAGTTTAAGGTGCAGTACAAAAGAAGGGTTCAATCAATAGTGCCGCGTGTATTTTGATAATGTAAATGCTTCAAAACAAATGTTCTCGTACCATCCAGTCATTAATTACAAGTTCAGATTTATTGTTAAAAATTTAGGACTCTTCAGATAGAATCAAAAATCTGCCAGTGTCACGTGTACTCAAGTACAGAGGTACAGGAGCACAGAGAAAAGACTATAATGTCACCTCTCATGGCGCCATTTTAGATACAAAGTACCTAGGTGCAAATCTTAAATACAAAAAGTGGAATACAAAAGAAAAGAATTTGCATTACCTTAGAGATTCATGGCAGAAGTCATGAATAAAACAGTTAAAAAAATAAACATTACAGTCAGATAAACAAATTACAAAAAAAAATTACATTGCAATAGCTCACCGCAGGGGCTTCCACATATGGTCTGACCAGCCTAGCAAGTCACTAACCACCTGAGCCAGACCCCAATCCAACAACCATCCCCACCCGGCTCTGGGCCTCCAGCCCACTTTGCGCCAGCATTCAGCCGCTCCGTGCTGCTCTGCTCCAGCTCCGTCACTCCACGTCTCTCCAAGCCTCCCTCCCATTCCATTCCAGCTCTGAGCCGCTCTGCACTCCTCTAAGCCTCCAAACTGCACCACTCGGCTCTGAGCTGCTCCATACTTGTCCAAGCCTCCAACTCACTCCATTCCGGGTCTCAGCCACTCCATGCTGCTCCAGGCTTCCAGCCCACTCCACTCCGGCTCTCAGTCACTCATAATTGAGCAGGGCATGTAATCATTGCTAAAACACGGAGATCAAAAGGGATAGAGCTATGACCCCACCAAAACCTGACAATTGTAGTGAACATTCTTTATTCCTATATTTCAATGAATCCAACTTTTGGCCATTTGCCCTCCTCAATCCTACATTCTGTGGTTTCTTATATTGGATTTGCATTTCGTCAGAACAGTGTACAAAATCTTCAGTTTACTCCACTAACATTCACGGATTTGATAATGTCGCTGGCAAGGCCAGCATTTACTGCCTAACCCCAATTGCCCAGAGGGCAGTTATGAGTCAACCACATTGCTGTGGTTCTGGAGTCACATGTAGGCCAGGTAAGGATGCCCTAAAGGGCATTAATGAATCTGATGGGTTTTTCCAACAATCGGCAATGGATTTAGAGTCATCATTAAATACTTAATTCCAGATATTTAGTTAATTCAAATTCCATGCCATGGCAGGATTCGAAGCCAGGTCCCCAGAATATTACGTGGGTTTCTGGATTAACAGTCCAGTGATAATACCACTAGCCTCCCCATTTTCAAAGCAAAGCTCAGTTTTTCCAGAATGATCTAGAAACAAATGTCATCTCCTCCATTGATCAGGATGACAAAGCCAACCTCATCTCACTCTTCCAAAATGATAGTTGCCACAACTAATTATTTCTTCCATTGTCAAATGAGAAACAGTCAGAGCAAGCAGACTAAAAGACCTTTAGTTTCTGAATTCTGAGTGAAGAGGATGGTGAATTCTCATCTCAATTTTAAACAGTTTACTCTTTTACTCTGAGGTTGTATCTCCTAATTCAAAACTCACTCGTTAGTGGAAACATCCTATCCATATTCACCTTGTCACACCCTATAGAAATTTTATACATTTTAATGTGCTCACCTCTCATTCTTGCAAATTCTTGAGAATACAGGCTGATTTCTTCAATCTCTCCTCTTAAAGCAATTTCACCAGTCCAGGGTGAAGCCCCATTGTGCTCAGTCACCTCGCTTTGATAAGATGGCCACAACTACACGATACTCCGGATGTGGTATCACCAAGGCTCTGACTACACTAAGACATCTTTACCCCTGTACTGAAATCCTCTTGTGATAATGGCCAACATACAACTTATCTCCCCAATTGCTACCTGCAGCTTCATGCTTCCTTTTAGTGACTCATGAGCAATGACATCCAGGTCTTTTTGGATGTAACACTTCCTAACCTCTCATCATTTAAGAAATACTCTGCCATTCTTTTTTTCTACCAAAGTGGATAACTTCATTATATTCCACCTGCCATGTTCTTGGCCTATCACTTCATCTGTCCAAATCCCGTTGAAGCCTCCTTGCATTCACCTCAACTTTCATTCCCACCTCCGTCATCCACAAGCTTGGACATATTACATTATACAGTTTATCAATAGCATTCTTTTAGCAATAAATAGGAAGCATCATGTACTGTTAATAGTAAGGATACTGAAGGCTCTTCCTTCATTCTTGCTCTCGCTCCCTCAATCTCCCGCAAGCTAGCCAATGAAAGGCAACTCGGAACAAGAGCTATTCACTGAGAATTTTAGAACATCTGCAGTTTCACCACTAAAGAGGAAACAAGACAACAGATAAATAACTGGACTCGGGTCTTTTCACTTTTCAACCCAAGGGAAAAACTGTATTTGCTCCTAACTGTGTTTGCAGTAGATAGCCTTCTTTCTGACATTTTTTTCCAATGTTGATTACTTCTGTTTTTCTCAGGTTTAATTAGAAATAAAACTCCACACTCATTCACTCAAGAAAACCTTGGAATTGCCTCTCCTTCATTGCTAATCTGGTTAACTAAGTTAAATTGAAGTGTGAGTGTTGCATATCAAAATAGAAATGAAGCATTTGTTACGACTGACAGAGAGGGCATTAAAAAAACTGGAGCAGATCTTTCCTCACCTGGTCAGGATAGATCATTCAATTTTGCTAATCCTACACTGACTAGCACATGCTGCTGAAAATGATCTTGAGATGAAAACAGAAAGTTTTCTGATGAAGAGTCACTAGACTCAAAACATTAACTCTGCTTTCTTCCCACAGATGCTGCCAGACCTGCTGAGTTTTGCCAGCAATTTCTGTTTATCCTTCAGATCTTCCGCATCCGCATTTCTTTGTTTTATTTTATGATCTTCAGATGACTGCTTTTGAGGTCCTGGTTTTTTATTTCCTTCCCAAGTGTCTAAATTTGCTTTCAGGACCTCAACGCTCTGCTGATTCATGCTGCTGTAACTAACGTTGACCATGAGCTTTGATTATTCAACTTTCCCAGGATAACGTATTGCAGCAGCTGCATGGCATCCTGAACCCTGGCACCAGGAAAGCAGCATAGTCATATCTAAGGTTGCATAAGGCACCTTTTTGTTCACCTAACAAACAAAATTATAGAGTCATAGAGTTATACAGAATGGAAACAGACCCTTCAGTCCGACTTATCTGTGCTGAGCAGGTTTCCCAAACTAAACTAGCGCCATTTGTCTGTATTTGGCCCATATCCCTCTAAAGCTTTCCAATTCATGTACCTCTCAAAATATCTTTTAAGTGTCCTAAATGTACCGGTATCCACCACTTCCTCTGGAAGTTCATCTCACATACGAACCCCTCTCTGTCAGAAACAGTTGCCCCTCCAGTTCGTTTTAAATCTTTCTCCTCTCACCTCAAAATTACGCCCTCTAGTTTTGAACTCCCAAACCACAAGAAAAAGATCTTGGCTATTCAAGCTATTTGTACCCTTCACAATTTTATAAACCTCTAAGATCACCCCTCAACCTCCTATGCTCCTTGGAGAAAGGTCCCAGCTTATCCCTGTAATTCAAACCCTCCAGTCCTGGTAACATCCTTGTAAATCTCCTCTGCATCCTTTCCAATTTAATATCATTCCTGCACTA